CTTATATGTAATTTTGTGTAACAATGAGGGTCTCCTTCCTTTACCATGCAATTTCCCTTCTCTCTCTCTTTCCCTCCCCCCTCTCATCCCTGTTTAGTGGTGATCTTCTCATGCTCTTGAGATTGATCAAGAATCATGAGGTTCAGGAGTAGCAATCTCGGTTCTTTAGAGTAGCTAACAGTTTCTGAATTCTTAATTTGTATATCCCATGAAGTTCTAAATACTTACCAGGAATTAAACTACTTTAATCCTCCCAACAAATTATCAACTGTGGGATCTTGGGCAATTTGCTTAGCCTTTCCAAACCCTGATTTCATTTCTAGAGAACGAAAGAGAGGCTTAGAAGATTGATTTGTTTGAGTTCACTCAGTGAGGACTGGAAGGGCCAAGCAAGGACCCAGTCCACTTCCTCACCACTGGCCATGGCTTCTTTTTAGAATTAACCAGACAGGCAGAGCTGGATGCTCCCAAAGGTACCCTGTAGCCCTCACATTCACTTGCACCATGTGATTCTTCTAAAACTTAAATGCACAAATGATCATGAATAAGAAATGCATGAATCCTTTTCCAAGCTACCACTCTAATCTTTGAGACTGACCCTTCAAACTAGGTGACCTATAAATGATTTTTTAAAAGCTCATAACAACTGCTACAATGGCTTCAAATGAAGGTTCTGATGAACTCATGATCTTGAAAACATTGCTATCTATCTCTATAACAAATGTATGACTGAAAAAAAGGGTGATAAATCACAAAATAAATGATCACTACACATCAACTTCCCTTTGTGAGAAAAGAAATCAAATACAAATTGACTGAAGATCGTTTCAGGAAAAAAAATAAGCAAAAAAAAAATGACATACATTCATTTCTTAAAGAACGATTAGAAAGAAATCTCACAAGACAATTTGGCATCACCAAAACTCTGCACAACAGCCCTAGACCACGTAATTCATGACTTTAAGGATGAGAGGGGCAGAGCATGTGGCTTCGGCAAGGCTTATGTTTATAGGAAACACATGGGATTTATAGCTGCTGGATCTGAATGTGAATCCCAGCCCTGCAGTTGTCTAGGAATGTGTGGTCTTGCAAGTTACTTCAACTTATAAACCTCAGTTTCTGCATCTGCTCAAAATGGAATTACTGCCTCATGGCAAGTTATTTGATGGTACAGATAATGCCTATGATATGCTTGGACATGAAAGTTTCTCAATAAATTGTAGCTAATAATAACAAGTACAATGGTATTGGTAATTTAAAAATATATATACTGTCAGCAGCAGAGAGAGTAGGTGCTGGTTAGTACCTCAACCTGGAGTGGACCCCTTGGTTTGTATCCTTGGCTCTCCTTTCCTCGTGGCATTCATATTGTATTTAACAATGATCTCAGTTGATCTCGTTTCTCTCATACCATCTACATGCCTTTACTTTAACATCTTAGGCTCTTCCTGAGAGCAAGGTACTTCTCAGCCACACCACAGCTAAAAAGTGGAGCTAACAAATAAACTTATGATGAGGATAAATGGGTTCATCTGTGAAAGCTTAAAATCATATATGACACAGACACATTATAAGAACCAATTAAATGCTAGAAAGTGCTGTTGCTGATGTTGTTGTAATCATTTGGTGAAGGTCATTATAGAACCAGGACCAACCACCTGGATAAAAACTGCCCCATATAATGTTGGTTAATAAATTGGAAATAGAAGAGTATGAAAATTCTTGGCAATGAACAAGTAGTGTTTCAGACTAATGGCCAGAATAATAAAACACAAGATGTTATCTCAAGGGCAAAACCAAAATTAGGTTGCAGATTATAAGGAGGTTCAATCAATTAACCGGGTAATCCTAGTAGAGACCCAGGGTTTCCAAAGTGCTTCACTATAAGAGGAGTTTGAGAATATGAAAGATTTTGAGACTCAAAGCCAAATTTTTTTTAATGATAAAGAATAATGAGGCAAGGAGAGTACATATTGCTTCCCCCACCCTCCCCCCCAAAAAATATCCTCTTTTCCCTGTGTCTTGCCATTTTTCTAAACCCTTTTTTTTTTTTTGCCAAGGTTAGAAAAATAGCATTGATCCCACTGTGTCACTTCCCCACATACCACTTAAGACATTCAGCTACCTAAACAAATGCAATGAACAACTGCCATTCTTATAAATCTTCCAAGAAACAGCTATGCAACTAGAGAATCCTGGTTTGCAAAGATAACATATAATCCTGTTGCTTTGGGTGTGGCTTTGTGCAGAGGGATGTAGGGGCTGGAATTTAAACCACTGCCTCCAATATCTCAGAGATAAGAATGATGACACTTGAGCCAGGGTGAAGAACAGGGTGTCCCTACAAGCTGTCTGGCCTTCAAACCTTCTGAAGCACCTACTACTTTGCACAGGGCCAGATAAGAGGCCAGCAGCCCAGTCAAGATCCTTTGGGTCTCCAGAAAAAGTAACAGGGAGGAACTTGAAAGAACCCATTTCAGGGTATGGGATGAGGAACAAGAGGCATGTTTTTCAACAGTTGTGAGTGGTTGCAGTGCACCCCTCAAGAACAGTAACTTCAGCAGCCACTTCATTATATTTCTACTGTAAATGATACAGGCCTGAGCCAAGTCAGCACCAAAACTCCCTACAGAATTTAGTGGAGGTTAGGTCATCTGCACTCTATTGACAACTGCTGAACTGAAAACCTCTAACAAGGCATCTCAGCAACAGTATGTGGCCTGCCACTAATGAGGCTCTTTTTCCATGAATAATGAACAAGAACATCATCTCTGTTGCCAGGTACACAACATAAACAAAGCTCAACACAGGCCCTTGATATGGTGAGTTTGTCCATTTGCAACAAAGGAATTTTTCAAAGTGTGAGCCAAGTTTTAGTGGAGGGTGGGACAGTCTGTTGTAACAAATAATATGAACATATGTTATCAGAATCTAATAAATCAGCTTTTGGTTATTGTGGAACAGAGGCTGTGCGATGGGACACAGGGAGACAATGAATAGCTCCAAATGAGTTCATTTCTTTATTTTGCAATCAGTTTTATAACACAGGCTGATGATTTCTGTAATGAACTGAGATCTTCATGAAAGGACTCTTATGAGACGTGTGATCCCCAAGGCACTATTGGTTAAACCTTTATTTCTTACGCCTTGATATATCAGGCTGAGTACTGGTCAGCAATGGGATAGGAACACTGGAACCTTGTTGTGGCATCTGGAAAAGTGCACTGCCACCTGAACCCATGGACATGGGACTAGGTTTCTTTGGTATTAAAAGAAGCTTGGGCTTGGTTGTGGCTTAGTGGTAGAGCACTGACCTAGCATGTGTGAGGTACTAGGTTCAATCCTCAGCACCACATAAAAATAAATAAATAAAATAAAGATTCATTGACAACTAAAAAAGAATTAAAAGAAGAAGAAGAAGAAGAAGAAGAAGCTGCTGCTCAATGTGAGGGCACTGTGGCTACAAGAAAGCCCCTTAGTTTAGGCTCTCAATCTTAGACCACTGTTCAGCAGAACAGTAAAATTCCAGCACGTAAACAGAGAATAAAAGTGAGCTGACATGAAGGCCAAACAGTCTTTATTTTGTATACTTTAAAGTGTTCCACAGATACTTTTCTTTTTCTAAAATCAGTTCCATACTAGGTAGCATTTATCTTCTTACACAGGGTGTTCATGTCCACATAGCAAAAAGATGCCATCACTGGCAGAGGGCATTTAGTTCCCACCAATTTAAGCAAGAATTTGAGCAAAACAAAAACAAAAAGTCTCAAAAGGCCTCAATTCGCTCAACTGTAAGGAAAACAGCTCCAACCCATTTCAGAGATTCCTTATGAAGAATTTTGTGAAATTTTATGAAAAATAAGACCTAAATGAAAGTTTGCCCTACATGCTTGACGAATTCCTGAGACTTTGTGATCTGAAAAATTCTTTAAATGAATTAAACATGCTTACTAAAGAAAGAATATCTTATAAAACAAAACCAAAAAAGATTATGCAATATAAGTAACACTCCATAATATTCATTTTACATGCAAACACATTTATTTCAGGGAGAAAGTCAACAAAATAAGACAGAATAATATGAAGTTCTGCAGAGCTTCTAGTAGTTAGGTCATGACAGGTAATTATGCAGATAATTTTTTTTTGTATATGGTATTAAGAATTAAACCCAAGACTGCTTTATCCCTGAGATACACTCCTGGTCCTTTTTACTTTTTTGTTTTAAGACTGGGTCTCGCATAGTTACTGAGGCTGGCAGCAAACTTTCTATCCTCCTGCCTCAGCCTCCCAAGTCACTGTGATTATAGGCATGAGCCATTGTGCCTGACTTATGCAGATAATTTATGTACAAAGAATCAAATGGTGAGTTCACAAATAATGGTAATATGAACAGAAGAGTTTAAAATCTCTAGGATGTACCAGTTAATCTTCTGGTTTTTTAAGAACAGCAACCAGAATGGTGAAGAGACTTTAAAGCCCATTCTAAAAAAAGGAATGGGGATATTCTGCTAGTGAGGAAAAGACCTAGGGTAAAACAGACAGGATTTTATCTTCAAATATTTACTGAGCTGTCACAAGCACAAGGACTACTAGCCATTCTATATTGCTCCAGACGCTCAACATGACCAACAGGTAGTGCTCACAGGGAACCAATGTGGTGCCACAGCAAGACCTCTAACACTCTGCTGCCAGCACAGTGACTCCTGACCATGAAGGAATAAAGCAGAGTGAATATAATGACCTGCTGGGGAGAGAGCACCAGGGGAGTCTGTGGGGAGGGATGGAGAGGATTGGGCACAGGCCACATGATGTTTCTGCCCCTACTAAGCATGAATTTCTAAAGATTCTATAAAACACCATCATGAAACTGGAGGTAAAATTCTTTGAGAAGAGAATTACCTAGCTGCTATGCTACTTGAAATGATCCTTTCAGTTTAGTCACTGGGACATGTCAAGAAGAGAGCGAGTTCTCAAGAACATACAAACAGCTAAGGACTCACCGTCATATTTTGCTAAGACTGCCTGAACGTCAGCATATGCTTGAAGTTCCAGAAGGGCTTCTAAAAGATTTTCATGGATGTTGAACATGCTCAGAAGAGGGAACTCCTTCATTAACTAGAAAAGAAGACACCAAGGAATATACAACATGATGTTTGGATATACACAGTGAAATGATTACTACAGTCAAAACATTTTAAGAAATAAATATTTCTCTTTTTAAAAACATTTTTAAACTTTGTTTTATTAGTTTACTTTTTCATATGGTGCTGAGGATCAAACCCAGTGCCTCACACGTACTAGGCAAGTGCTCTACCACTGAGCCACAACCCCAGCCCAAATTTTTAAAAATTTTTTGTACCAAGGCTTGAACCCAGGGTCTCATGCATGCTTGGCAAGTGCCCTACCACTGAACTTACATCCCCAGTCCTTTTCTTTTATTTTGAAACAGAGATCCACAAAGTTGCTGAGGCTGACCTGGAACTTTTGAGCCTCCTGACTCAGTTGCTAGGATTACAGACATGTACCACAGAATCAGGTTTCTTATTTTTTTAAAGCTATTACCGAAGCATAATATTTTTCTAGCATAAAAGTATAATTCATAATACTGGATTATAAGTTTTCATATTATTATGTTTTAAAACCCAAATAATTTTTTTCTATTTTTTTCCTGAAATTTTAGAAAAATGGCAGGTTTGACTTTGTGAGACTCTACTTACAGTGAAGAAAATCCAAAAAAGAAAGATTTTCATAAAAAACTGAAGAAGATGGTCAATAATGACAAAATGTTATAGAGAAACCAAATAAGGTAAAAGCTAAAAAATAACTCACAGGCTTTCCCAGATCAGTGGTAAGCTTGTTAAAAGCAGTTTGGATGAAAGCCAGAGAACAGAAGGATAAAAAAATCAGGCACTATTCTTTTGAGCATCCTGGGGGGCAAAGGTAAGGAGAAAAAAGTAGAAAAGTAGCTAGAAGGTGACACAGTTGAGAGAAAATTTATCAGTAGGGACAGGGATGGTGGTCAAGAAGGAAGTTCACAAGTTCCTGCCTGGTGGCCTCAATAAAATAGGAGTCAAGATTGTCTTCTGAAACAGGGAGTACCTGGTGGGAAGAAGTTTAAAAATAGGAGTGAATTAGTGGCTAATCTAATTCACAAAGGAGAAGAATAATTATGTGAAAATATAAGGATGGCGAAGGCCATCTCCAGGACCCAAAGAATTGCAGACCATGAATTTACAGAGGCTACCACTGCCATGGTTGTTGAGTCCCAGCTAGCAGTGGTCAGCAGTCCAGTGACAGCAAGACATCTAATGATGACGTGGAGTGTGGGCAGACCAGATTAGGTTCCATGAAAAGTCAAGGAGCAAGAGAGTTGGCTGTAATGGTGAAACAATGGTTAAAAGAATGGCCCAAACCTTCTAGGTTAGATGGAGAAGAAGTGAGGTCCAAATGGAGTTAAAATAAATAAAATTAAACTTCATGGGAAAGCAAAGATAAAGAAGAAAGGACCAAGAATTTCAGAGTAAAATCTTATCTTAGAGAAAGGTATCTCGTTGTAAAAGACGATCAGATCCTTCATAAAGCACTCATATATTTATGTTCCTCCATTAATCTCCCAAATGGATCAACTGATTTCTACTATAAAGACTTCTAAACAATTGATGATTCTTTTTTATGTCAACATCTTTAAAGCAATTATGCTGAGAGAAAAACAGGCTAATCCACTGCCATGGAGGAACTAAGTGGATGCACTGCAGGGACTTCTTCCTTTATTAGGAACATTTACCATATTGTTTTGTTTTTGAAAGCCAAGAATCATTTACCATATCTTTAAAAATAAATAATTTTCTGGAACCCCAAAGAGCATCATATTACCAGTGAAAAACACCTATCAAAAGGATCATGTGTTCATGACTGACAGTCTGAACCCCACTGAGGGACCTGCAGTATTTTCATTGTTAGTAATGGAAGTGAATGAGATGACACCACGCATTGTTGCTGTTCTGCAACCAATAAAAGTATTTCTTGTTCTGGTTTACTTTGATTCTGGCTGACATCACCCTTCAACTTCTTTCTCGCTAATTAAAGTTTGTTAGAATGAAAGCTCTCTGCCACTCAGCAATTGGCAACACAATAAAGGCATTCTCTAAACTGCAACATTTAAACATTTAGTGGCCTTGACCAATTCCTCAGGTAACATCAAACTTCAAGGAAACCAATCACATTCTGTAATTTTAAAACTGTATTTCCAAATATTAGTTGCTAAAGATTAAAACTTGAGTTTTACTCGAACCCAGTCAGACCCTGTGCACCAATAGGGCAGTCTCAGATAGTCTAAACAGAACTTTTGTGAGGGCTTGAGCAGCTGCTCTTTCACCAGAAGCTTGGACAGAGTATACTGTGCTCCCCAAAAATAATCACCAATGAGAGGCTTTTAAACATGAGGAAGAGCACATGTTGGGGAGTAATCTAAGTCATATGACAATTTGGAGACTTAGCTTTCTTTATTTAACATAAACAAGATGGAAGAGTGAACCTTCTGCTACCTCTATCACTCTCCTTAGCCCTTTGTAATAATCTTAGAAAACAAGCCTATGAATGCTCTCCTAGCCTGTTACCTCCCCGCTACACCACTCACTGTAGCAGCTCTCCCCACACCTCTTCTCCATCTACTGGTCCTGTCCCACAATATAGCTGACTCAAATCCCTCTTGTGGATACCCTCCAGTCCTCTTCTTGCTTGACCTCTGCACCATTTGACAGTTTGATGAGTTTTTCCTTGAAACTCTTGTCTCTCCTGGCTTCCTTGACACCATTTTTCTCCTGGGTTTTTCCGTACAGTACTTGAAGCTCCCCATCACCTGCTACTTAGGAGTAAATCGGTTTTCAGGTTATGTTCCACTTCCTCTTCTCATAAACAGCTGATGTCTAGAATTACTTTTGTATCCAGAGACTCAGTCTTTATGGGATGGCACCCACATGCCAACATCCTGCTCCAACCTCTCTACTAAGCTGTCGGATCAATTTATAAATGATCTTCCTGACAGGTCAACCCCTGTGTCCTTAAAGGCAACATACCTAACACTGAATTGATAACTTCTCCTTCTCTAGATTAACACTTCAAACTTATTCTTCCTCTTTGGTATTTTCTATTTTGGAGAACAGTGCCGTTAATGTGCCTGTCACCCTCTTCTACAACACTACAACCACTTTAGAAGTCCCCCAAACACCTTAATTAATATGTAAAAAGTGCTGATATCTTTCATCAAGTTCATAGAAAGCTGTATATGAAAAAAAATTAAAAAGCCTTAAGAATCAGTACCGTCTTGTCTTTTCTCTGATGTGCCGCCAATAACTTAGCTTCTGGCTTTATACTTTGTCTAAATTGCTTAAGTAGCCACCTTAGTTGGCCTGCTTCAGGTTCACCTCTATTGATTAGCTCCTTGCTAATGCAGCAATATTCAAAGGTGAAGTGATTGGACTGTGAAAGCTGTAGCCTCTTCAGTCCATCCTAGTTTAAATGAATAGACTATAGGCAGGTGAGGCATGGCTAGAGTAGGTGAATCAGTGGGGGTGTGCCCTGGATGGATGCACCTTCTCTTCATCAGCCTATCTTCCTAGATGACATGAGATAAGCAGTTTTCCTCTGCCTCACCCTTGGGCCATGATGTTCTGCCTCATCTTGGGCCCAGAGCAATGGAGACTCTAGACTGAGACCTCTGAAACTGTGAGCCCCAAACACACTTTTCCTTCTCTAAATTGTTCTTGTTAGGGCATTTTGGTCATGGCAACACACAACCTCTTTCCTATCTACCCTTCACAATGCTATCGTAAAGGCTTCTAAATATACACACTAGATCGATCATGTCCTTGAGGGCCACAGCTGTCCCACTAGACTATAGATGTGGCTAGATCCATCACAAGGAAATAATCAGATGTGAATAAAAATTTACAAATACCTTGTTTATCACATTATTTCTAATAGAAAAAAATGCAAGCATCTTAAATCTTAACCAATTATTAGACACTAAATTATAATAAGATTCATCCTCTGGACTATTACATGTAGTCAGTAGAATTTCTCAAAGAACTTTTAATAGCATGCCCAGAAATGCTGGCAAACATTTAACATTAGAAAAAACAGGATACAAACTATGTTTTGCAATTAGATCATGCTTTTCTTATGTCTTTATGCATAAAACATACTTTGTTAGAAATATACTAAAAAGTTTTAACAGTGACTATTTATGGTTGGTGAGATTAAAGATGTTTTTTTATTTCTTCCATATTTTCTGTATGTTCTATTATTTTTAGAAGCCCTTTGCATACATTAGATACATTGAGGGGGGAGAGTGAATATTTTTAAGAATACTGGCTTCATGTCAAATTCAGGATACAATCCAAAATCTTTTGCATGCAAACAGTCCTCCATGACCAGTCCCTGTCCGCCCCAGCAGCCTTATTTCAGTCACTTCATGCACACTCTGCTCCAACAATGGAAAAGCTTTCAGTTTCTTAAATGTGTCATCTTCACTAATGTTTCTATCTCCCAGTCCCCCAGCCCTGGAGCACTTTCCCTTCTTCCTCCTTAGTCAATCTGACAAACTCAACTTTTATGACTCCTTAACCTGCCCCCAACTATTGACCTTTTACCCTCCATCTGCAAGCAAAGTGCGCCTGACTAAACTACCAGAGTCCTAGTCACAATAGTCTTCTGATCCACCTTCTTCATGAGTGGTCTGGTCAGGGACTGATCCATCATGGTGCTCTATACATACTTCATGAATGGAATGTTTTTTTCACATTCTATTCCTTTGGGGACATATTCTATGAGTGCTGCCACAGACCTACTTCAGGCTCTTAGGTTACATATCCCTGAACATGTTGTTCTATTTACATCTTCCATTAACCACATCTTGGAAAAAGGTATAGCTAGAAACTGTAAGTTTTGACTCTACATACAGAAGAAATTTATTTCACAAAAGTGTAAGAAAATATTTACATATTTACATATTACATATTTACAGCTGCCTACATATGTAGTTGATGGTCTAGAGAAGTCCCTACCGCTGAAACTCTTTATGCAGAGAGTCCAGTCACAGGTCAAGGATATAGACC